GTCCCAACAGCCACCCTGCTCCATTTTGTGCAGTCCCCACAACCACGGCCCTGAGGGACACAAGGAGTGGGGAGAGCCTGGTGAGCCTGAGCCCGAGCGCGGGGCAAGGTGCGCAGCCACCAGCCGCCAGCCTTGTGCGCCAGCGTCGCCACCAGGAGGTGGAGCGCCTGTAGGCTGCTGCAGGAAGGGAAATGGGTTCTTCATGACTACAGCCGTGTCTGCTTGCCCTGCACGGAGCACGAGCCTGCAGCACCCTGTGATGCCTAGCAGCGTCCGGCGCCAGGAGACGAGGCTCCATGTGCTTGTGTGGGCACTCAGCTCAGACATGCAGGCTTCACAAGCATCTTATTTCATGGGGCTAATAAGCTGCTGGCATGGCACAAACTCCAAGTGATGACCTACAGCAATGACCTTCATTACCCAGGGAAGGCCTGAGAGGCTTCAAGTGTCTCCATTAAGAGCATTTTGTGGCTTCTGCCACCTAGTCTTTCATTAACCCAGAAGTAACCACTTCTGAACATCACAGGTTCCCAGTGCTGACAAACAGCGCTGCAGCTCCAGCCGGGCGCAGCTCCTGGTTGGGAACACGAGCGTGGTGTCCCAGCAGCAGGCAGAAAACTCAACGCCGCAGCTGTCACCTGACTGTCCCCCAAAACCTGACAGCTTCACACAGCTTGATGGCCCTGCAGCCCAGTGTCCTCACACGGAGCTGCAGATGCTGCTGAACCTGGGTATGTGGGGAGCCAAGAGGAGGTTTCAGGTCCTCACAGACGTGATGCTCTGCAATAGCATTCCAGAATGGGAGCAGAAACCATATTTATTTCTGGGGGATGGAGCAGGGCCAAGAGGAGCAGGGCCCTTCCAGGGCAATGGATCCAACTGCTGGGTCACCCGGAACAAAACCCACCACTCTCAGCAACCAGCTTTCAGCCTCCCAAAGCCCGCCAGGGATTTGTCCTTTGTTCCCATCTTTGTAAACCTACAAAGAACCAAAGAGAAGGGGAACAGAGAAGAAAAGGAAAAAGTGCTGGTGTGCCTCCATTGCACTCCTCACCTCCTCATGACAGCAGCAGGCCCAAGTGGGAACCGACTGTTCGTCCCCAGTGATGCCCTCAGCTTTACAGTGCAAACAAAGCCAACTCCTATACGAAATGCCTGCTGTATTTTTATAGACTTGCACTGCCTCAAAGAACAAAAAAGAAAAGCAAAACAAAACAAATCGAGCAAAGGGCAGCACGATGCAAGTGCCAGAACAGCGCCGCTCAGCTCTTATTCCTTCTGACAGGATCACGGGACGTTGCATTTGCCTTTTAACACTAACTTCTCCATCACAAATTAAGGCTATGGACAATGTATTAGCACAGCTCGGTTGGGACACCATTCAACACGCTTTTTATACCCTTAATCTTCTGCTAAGTTTGTTTGCCCGAAGAAATGTTTTTGCGACCCAAAAGCTTCCAAACCCACTATCCCAATTCCATCAGCACTGACGTGAGAATGATTTCTAAGATTACCGACCTGCTTGCAAGGTAACAGCAGGAACCGCTGACATCGTCATCTCTTTTGGCTGGCACGCCTGCTGCACTTGGCAAGCGAAGCCATAACCTTACTAAAATGCTTATCTTGTTCAGTTCTTTGACAGAAAGCAAACAGCCTAATTTGCGTCTCTCTTAATCCTACAGCCTACCACAGCCACCACTATGAGCCAGCACAGCTTTATTTCTGACTCAGCCCCCAGTCAGCTTTCAGAATCGCTCCAGCCTCCGCCATACTCACTACAAACTGCATCACCAGAGGGAAAAAACCACAGGAAACTCACCCTGAGTATCTTAACAAAGACGAATGCAATTGCTCTGTAACACAGTTAGCATTTTGCCCTACTTCCAGCCTCCGCAACACAGAAGAAAACCCAAAATCAGCACAGGGGTTTTGCCCAAATTAATAGCAAGTGGTAAGAGTTAACAGACTGATGATTGCTATCTGGAGACGGCTTTGACTGTGAGAGATACAATAAATCTTTTCAAGTTGCGACAAACGTCTTAGCTAATGTAGCCCACATTCTATGTTTAGATATTCCTACGATGCAATCCAACATTTGGTTTTAGTTTTTTAATTATAACTAAGAAACAAACTCCGCTGCACTTTAATCTCTCCTTAGCCCGAATTTGCACACGGAATTACCATCCCCACCACGTCCATCTTTCCCACACTCAATATTCAAACCAAAGGGAAATGAGACATTCTTTCCACAAGGGTTTTTTTTTGGTTATAAAATTGCAGTCAAAGCAGAGAATGGATGCTTCTAAGATTCCAAACATCAAATCCTTGTCTCTCCCTCAAGGAAATCTCTGCAGTGTAGGTAACACCCCACACCCTTACACTGCAAGGCAAGAATTCACAATTCAAACAAAACAGACCAGAAATCCACTTGACAGATCAAGGAGGACAACCGAGGACAAGGAGCTACCCTGTCTGTCAGCACACACAGAAAAATGCTTCTTGGACCCACTGCCACCCAGGCTCCATTCCCATGGCTCCCACAGCGCACCTGGAAGGCCAGGTTTGAGCACCCATAGCACTTCAGTGCCAGCAGGTATTGCATCAATGAGTAGCAACAATCCTTGATGTGCTGGATGAGCCAGCTACCCAAAGTTGATGGGCACGACAGGGGAGAACAGAAATCCACAGGCGGCAGCATGAAGACCTGTGGGTTTTTTGAATGACTTAATGTGATCAGACCCTGGAACAGGCCAATCCAGGCAGTCCTGCATCTGTTACTTCACAGAACCTTTCACATGTGTAGGGCTTCACAAACACTCAAAATCTTTGGCTACACCTCTGCAACCCTATCCTACAACACCAGCTGACTATTGCGCCAAATCCTGATAACATCAGCAAGTCAAAAATGCAACTGGATGATTGCATTCCTGCAGCTGCAGTTGCAGGTGCTTGGGTTTCACGTCCCATCACCTACATCTCACTGGAGGTGAGGCAGAGGGAAGGAGGTGGCTGAAGGAGAGCAAGCCTTGATTCAAATCATGAGCAAGAACACTTTTCATTAGCGAAGAAACAGAAAATATTATCCTGCATCTGGGTGTCACACAACCCAAGACAGAAGTACATTTCAGAAGGAACAAGACAGCCTGCATGCTGGAGCTGGCGAGGTTGGTGAACCTCACACAGGAGGACCCTCCAACCACAGCTGCCCCAGGACAGAGCCTCTCAGCTCAAGACCAAAAGGAGCAGGCCAAGCAGAGCTGATGATAGAAAGACAGCAGGGGTTGTCCTGAGCAGGCAAAGCATACTGAGTCTCTTTTCTGCCCTCTGTGCTTGCATCTCTCACAATTCCTCTTCTTGGAAATGGTGTGTTTGCAGGTGTAAATGTGCATTTCTATCCCAGAAGCATAACGTGACTCAAGGGAGTGGCAGAAAGGTGTGATCACCATCAGTGGTAGGTCCAAGCTACACAGCACAGCACATGCCCTGTTAGGAAGTGGGCTTCACTTGGCTCGGAGAGGGGCTTGTTCAGCATCACGGGGACCTGGGAGCAACCCTCAGACCAACAAGGCATCACAAGGCAGCGCCAGGCTCAGAGCTGAGCATGGCAGGATGGCAGACAAGAGGTGCACACTGGAACTGGAGATGCTCAGAATGGGTATAGGAGAAACTCTCCTACTGAGGGTGGCCAAGCAGCAGAGCTGGTGCCCCATAGGGCAGTAAGTCTGCCTCCTCGCCTGGCTTCAATAACCTGCTTGGAGCAGAAGGCTGGACCAGAAATCTCCCAAAGTCCCATCACACCTGAATTGCCAAGTGAATCCCTGATTCCAGGCTGAATCCCAGCTGAAATCCTGAATGAAATGCTTCATCTGAGATACAGCACAGCGCCTCACACACACAGCCATCCGGGTGTATGAATCACTGCAGGTTTTTCAATAGCAAGCTGCTCGACTACACCCAGCACGTGCCTTCCAGCGCTCACCGCTCAGCCCCGTGCGTATCCACGTGGCTTAAAGAATGCTTTTTGACAAACAAGGACCTTTCTGCACATTGCAGGGGGAGGGCTCTGCTCAAACCAGCACCAGCCTGAGGCCACAGGGCTGTGCTGGACCTGGCCATCCTGATCCCCACGTGGATCCAACTCTGGCTGCCAGATCCCAGCTCCAGCCCAGTAGCAGACATTTACTCCACAAACACACGTGGATGGTCCTGCCGTGGCTCCAACTGCCTGCAAAGTTTATTTTCACATCCTGCATGCTCCCAATAATGCCAAGGCAGAGGCCCACACTGTGCTGCACCTGGCACCCATGGGCTCCTCCACAATGGTGGCACTGCCACTGCTGGATGGGACCACTCTATCCCACCGACACACAGAGCCCATGCAGCACTCATCCGCAGCAGCCCAGTCAGAGCAGGGCAAAGCTCAGAAAACTCAGCACTAAAGTCTGCATATGTGTTCAGAACAAAAAATTCAGTTTTCCAAAAAGCTTCCATATTCCCTCCCAGCAGTAAGGCAGCTTGTGCAGCTTTGGCACAGCAGAAGCAAGCACAGCATTGAGAAGAATACCACTGAGTACTGGGAATGGGCTCCACTCCTCCACTCACACAAGATCTGCAGTTCTCTGTAAGACCCAGAAACGGTTGCCAGACGAGTTGCAGGACTCGGAAAGCCCTAGAAATCTACAGCGTACTTTTTTCTACTGCTCTTTTTGCCGTGTTTTCCTTTCAGCACAGCACAGCAGCGTGTTTGTGCTGGCCAAGCCTACCCACCTCCCTTCCACCACACCTTCGAGCAATTGGAGCACAGGAGATACAGTATTACCTCAAATATTTAACCAAAGGATTAAGCTATTCTCTCGGCAGGGGCTCTGCCCACGATGCAGCTCCCGGGCCGGCTGGCAGGCGCTGCGTGGCTGCCTGCTTTGTGGCCAGCGAGCTGCCCCAGGCTACAGAGAGCTCTCCATGCTCTCCTCCAATACTTCTGCACCAATGTTTCTGCTCACCGGCTCCCGGCCGTCCATTGCCTCCATCCAAAGCCTTCGGTCCTCCTCCGAAAGCGCCTGCATGGTGATCACGCCGGGCCTGCAGGGAGAAAGGGAATACCATAAATAAGCTGCAGGTCAGAAAACAAGACACAGATTAAGTTCTTGTGTAAAACAGAGAAAGAAAGATGACGACCTTCCTCCTCGCCAAGCCCCAGCACGGTGCGGCTGATGCCAGCCTAACCGCTCTGGGAAGTCCCTGCAGGTCCCAGCCAGGACCAAAAAGGAGCAGAAGGCATCTCCAATAATCAACACACATTTGCAGTGGTTTTACAGTATGACAGGCACTCTGTGACGCTGCACCCCAGACAGCTCATCTGCCTTTGAGCTAAAAGCACATCCACGTAATGGACACGGAAGGCACCTGAGCAAGCAGGACGCCCCTGTGTCCCCACACTCCATGTCCCACCACCCCAAGCACCAGCTCACAGGGGGACCTTCTGCTGCATCAGGAATTTCAACACTTTTGTCCCCGAAACGCTCACATCAGTGTGACCGTGCTGTGCCCCTGACCCCTGCTCTTAGCCACACAACAGCCCCCGAGCTACACGCTAAAACCAACTCTGTGGCTGCTTATTTATTTTAATGAGAAGGGGAAAGAACAGGCCCAAGTGCTGGCACGCAAAGCAGGGGGGGTCAGGGAACAAAACCAGCCAGGCGTTCGCCTCAGGGCCAGCACCACCTCCACCACTTCCAAGCGACCTTGCTCTGCCCTTCCCACACCAGGAGCTAACACTCAATTATCTTGTTCTGTCACCAAAGTCGTGACTGACTGAGCACAGCAGAGCACCCTCCAGCTCCTGGTGCAGCACACCATGGAACACAGGTTGCCCCTCAGCACCCCGGGACCCGCAGGGGCTCAGTGACACAGCTGAGGTGGCAAATCCAATGAGTTTTTCTGTTCTGTTCGGTTGGCCCGGTCTGTTCCATTCCAGGCTATTTTCAGATGCATTAGCACAGTGCAGCTGCTATTTCTGCAGGAGGAGAGCGGGCAGAAGCCCTGGCAACAGGGAAGACACAGGCATGTATCCAGCATGAGCAGGAGTGGCTGTCAGAGCTGTCTGCAGCAATGCCTGGGGGATTTTAGGGTTCATTCTCAGAAGGTATTGCAGCAGAGAGAGCGTAATGCTGCAGCTCCCAACCCAGCAAAACACAGCTGCCCCAGCCCTGCAGCAGGAAACACGCAGGGGTGAGGCAGAGAGCCATGGCAGTTGCATGCTTTGGGACCACTAAATGCAGAACTCCACACGGCCTGGGAACAGGGCTCACTTCTGACTTGCACTTTCTAAAAGCGATCCAGCGGGAGAGGATCACTGCACAAAAGCTGTTCAGTTCTTGGTAGGAGCTGATCCTCTGTCAGAGATGACAGCATGAACAGGGATGCTCAGTGTGGTGGTTTTGGCCCGTTCCCATCGCTCTGTGGTACTTAAGGGCAAGGAACAGAGAAATAACCCCTCGCCAGCCAACCCCAGGGCTCACTCGCAGCACGCGCAAGGCAGCCCAGCGCAGGTTCGCAGCAGCAGCAGCAGCATGCTCAGGCTTGCAACAAATCCAGGTCCAAGTAAATCAGACATAATGTATTTGATCTCCGCTAATCCTATTGGTGAGTCATTCCATACTCACCAGCTTAGTGGTTTGGAAGTTTACTCATTTCGAAGGGAAGAGGAAACCACTTAACCATCACCCCATTTGAGAGAGAAAACGCTCAACAGCCAGCACCGAATGCTGTCAGCACAGGGAACAAAGCTCAGTGCTGTGCAGACAACGTGGTCTGGGGGAGACAGGGGCAGCAGGAGAAGGGCTGAGGGGCCAAGGGGCTGGAGATGGGCTGGGGGCAGCTCCCTCCCCCTCAATGCAGGCAGGCGGTGGGCAGCTCAGCCCAAGCTCAGGCCGGCTGGCGGGGGAGCTCCAGCAACCCAGGGAGGGCAAAGGAAATAGAGATCTCTGTCTCCCGTGAAACAACAACACAAACACATTGAAACTGTTCACTCCAGTAAAATTGATGCTGGCCCCTAAGAGAACTGACAAGGTCCCAGAAAGACAGTGCAGGTATCTCCAGTGCCAGGTTCCCCCACGCACAGGACAGAAGCGATAATGGGAAAATGTTTGTTCTGCCTTTGAGCGATAACAACTCTTTGGGCTTCACTTCAAAGCCAAACTTACCAGCGTGCAGGGAGGGGCTGCAAACCCGAATTAAAAATCCATTTACATTGCAAACAGCTCTGCATTTCCTCCCACAGTGCTCATTTGCCAGAGCATCCATTGCACCACTTTCCCGAGCACAACCATCTTCCTGGCTGTGACGCATTCCAAATGCACCCCACACATTATGGCTCATCCATTATTCATTGGGACCGTGCCCACGGGGTGCCACGCGCTCAGGTTGGGATGGCCGGGCCAGCATCCCATCCATCCCAGCAGCACAAAGCTGTCCTCAGCCCCACATCTACAGCCAGCCCCACATCTACAGCCAGCCCCACAT